TTGGGGCTGCAGGACCCAGCTTGATCTGACGGGGAGCACAGTGTGATCCTACAGCTGGAAAAAACAGGTTCTCAGGTTTCTGCTGCTCGTCCTTAATCACTGCAGCCTGAGTGACTGCCCTAAACAGGATGTGGGCTCTGTCATGGCAATATATTTAATAAACTTAATTGCTGTCATTAATGTGAGCTAGGGAAACATTAAAATGTATCAAGCTGCAGCAAAATTACCCCACTCTTCTGTTACCTTCATTTTCCACGTCCTTTTCGAAAAGTCACAGTGGAACAACTAAGTAGAACATTGCCCCTTTGCAACACGCCATAAACAGTGCAAACCTCAGTGAAAGACATGCTATAAAACAAATAAATAACTTTTCCAATGGCAAGCATATCACCTGTATATTAAACTGGAGAAATCTGTATAAATGGACAGATTGTACAGGCTGGGGTGTAATCATTATACCAACAAGTCTTACATATTGTACTGTTTCTGCTACCATACTTCACTGCAATTATTAGCCTCCTTTTCTGCCAACTCCGAGTTTAACATACCGTCCCCCTGCCAAGGCCATTTGATTATAAATAGCAAAACATCACGTAAATGCAGGCATGTGGGGAGCAGATACAGCACAGAAAAGTGGGCCATTGGGAAGAAGTATTTACTTTTTTTAGGGTCTGATCCTGTACAAACATTTAGTCATGTGAATAGCTGGCTATTCTAGAGCAGTTTCCCGAAATTCAAAGAGATTATTAACCTTAAAGGCACAAATGTAATATCTTGCAAGATGCAGTTCTTGCAAGCCTTGTTTGGAAGTTTTTAATAAAAACATGGTAATTAAAATAAGAGGTATATTTTGGAATCAGTTTGTTCTTCACAAATGTTATATATTGAAACAAAATCTCATGGCCAGGTAGCCATCTCACGCACAGTTAACTACTTTTATCACAATCAGATTATAACGTATGCGTAAGTACTCATGATTTGATAGATTTCTTCCTAATTTGTGTCTGATCCCAATGATCTGATACTGCAGGGGCAGATTTCACAGGAGGAAGAAAAAGGGAAAGCTGGAAAATGTCACTACATGGAGCCACTTCATTGTACATATTAATTATCTACCATTTGCACAGCACCAGTGACTTGGGTAGATGTTCTGTGTTCCACCGGTGAGACAAGGGGACAAACCCCAACTCTCACTGAAGTGAGTGGCAAAACTCCCATTAACCTCAGTGGAATCAGGATTTCACTTCATGCGAACTCTAGGGTTCAAAGACGCTTCTCCAGTTATGTTGCTCTACAGAACCAGTTGTGCAGACAAAAAAAAAAACCTTTTATGAGATGCCATTAAGGGCTACTTGAAGTATAAGCACTCTGCAAGAGTGTATCATTTATGGGACCACTTGAAGTCTGCTCTGACCATCTCTTCCCATTAAGCCAGTAGTCTTACATACCTCATTACTCTTGATTACCCACAAAGAAGACAACGCTATGTGGGCCCTATGGAAGGTGATGTTGCTAATGGGGACATATGCTGAAAAATACATGCTCATGTGAAAAGGTGGTACAGGATGCCCCATTATAAAAGTCACAGTAGCCTCTTTCTGTTGGCTAAACACTTGCACCCTTATCTCCGACTGTTGCCACACTGAATGCAACCATGAGAGAGAGGAACTCAAGCCTGGACTTGTGAAAACTTAAATATGCCCAGGCTGAGAGAAGGACACAGCTGACCATTGAGAGGAAGCACAGAGCTCTCCTCCTCCTCCACTGAAAAGGCCTTCCCCTCCTTCAAAGGGGAGGGGAGGATGCCATTGCAACAGATATAACGGCTAGAATGAGAAAACAAGCAGTAAAAACCTCATTATTTCCTGGCGTAAGCAATGTGGGTGGAAAATGCTTCTTTGAGCAATGGCTTGGCAAAAGGAGATCCTAGGACTAACTCTGAAATAACAGATAATACCCGGGTGAGTAGTCTTGATTATCCAAAAAGGCATTTTAGTAGCATTTATCACTACAGGATCCAAACCCTCCAAAAAATCACCACACCACTCTCCAGAGAGGTCCATAACTGCAACATTTATGTTACAGGAAGCTTTTCAGAGCAAGGAGGAATGAGATATTGAGTTTTGCTCAAGAGGTCACTGGGGAGGACAGAGGCAGAACTGAAGCCATATCTCTGGTTTCACTGTACAACTGTCCTGTTCTTTAATCCACAGGTACATATTGTCTCTATGTCGAGGGGAGGTGGATTTGGGATGGGGTATGGAAACATGGTGAATGTTTTAACCCTCCCTACTGCGGTGTCATTTGCATGTCTGACATCTCGAAGGCTGACCCTGAGCCATGCTTTACATGGTTGGGAGGTAGCCCTGCAAATGAACTACTGCCTTGCAAAGTCAGCCTGGCAGAAGATGACCCCCTGCCACAGAAATGGGGGAAAACTTTTTTTGGGGGGTTGTTTTTAAATGGAGGATTGGATTCTGTAGAAAATATAAAAAACTACAGAGCAGTCTGTGAGTTTCCATTGGCCCCTGGCCATGACATGCAAAAGAAAAAAAAGAGAAAAAAAAAGGAATGAAAACACTTTTTATCATCTTGTTCCTTTAGGAGGGCTCAGAAGCTGTGAGACTTACAAGTGCCACGTTTCTTTGTTGCGCTCCAGCAACCAACACAGATGTAGAGGGGCCAAGAGCTGGATGCTTACGTTTTGTGTATCTTGGATATAAGGCTTTGGAAAATCTGACTCTGAGTTATACAAATGGTCACCTCATTCTCTGCTGGGAGTTGCATTCCCATTGTTTATTCTGTATTTCTAACACTGACTTTTGTAACTTGTTTAATTTCCTGAGGGTCAGGTCAGTATCATTTAGAATTTTTTTTTTTTTTTTTTTTCATCTCACGGAAGCTGGATTTCATTTCCCAAATTTCCTTTTTGTCACACAGACAACTCAGTTATTGATGGGACACTGGAAAAAGGGCAGGCCCAGGTCTTGACTTCTTGTCATCTCTCATTTGTATTGATGCCAGCCACTGATGCAGCTAATAACCATCTGTAAAATGTTTCCCATTGTCATTGGTATGGAGGATGAAAAGCAAGAACCTTGTTTTTCTCAATGATTTACATTGCCTTCTGCATTCCAAGCCTTTCGTAAAACTTTTTAATTGTAAAGGCTGAGCCTCACTCTTATCTTCAGCCTGATTTGTAATCACAGCAACTGACAATCTGCAGTCAGACATTGGTACATCATTCCCACTATGGAGAAATCAGTGCCATTTCACTGTATTTCTAGCACTTGTGTAGTCTCACACAAGTTATTATTCAGTAATAAGTTACTGAACACCTTCATGAGTGCCAAATCGTTAATTAATGAGGGGAGTAAGTCATCAGCCTGTGTATTGGTAAAACTTTAGCAGCAAGTAAGCCAGAATGGTAAAAACCTTTGAAAGGATTTACCTTCCATCTAGTCCCAGGACTGAAAGCAGCAATGACATGAGACAAACCAGTGAGTGTCAGAGAGAGAAGCATAAACCCCTTGAAGCCAAACTGAAGTATTTGTTCTAGAGCTATAGCCATTAAGTTTTACTCTGCTTTGAAATTTAACACGATTTTAAGCTGGGTACCAAGTTCTGTCCCTTCAGCGCTAGAAAGGCCAAGGAACATGTCCAAAACCCATGTCTGCTGAGGAAGCAGAGGTGACCAGAGCCCCGCTGATAAAGCTCCCCAGTCTCAGAGGGATGCAGACTCCATCCTGTGAATGAATGTCTCCGACTCCCAGCAGAAAGCAGTGCTACCTTAAAACTCACTGACAACTTCTATGCCCATGCTTTTCTTACCGTGCGTTTTATACTCAACTACACTACTCGAGGTTGATCCCTGGGCTCAGATTGCATCGCCGGGATGGTTTTGCGGTCCATCAAGCTGTTGAGCTAGTTATGACACTGGCCCAGTTGCTTTTCTGAGGGGCTATGGATGCTCAGAAAAAACTTTGGTTCCCCTGCAAATGCACAGCTTAATGCTTTTATCCAGCCAGTGCTCTAGAAACTGCAAAAGGAAATGGTATTTGTGGTAATTGTGATAGCATAAAAACACAGTCTAATACACACCTGGGGTGAAAATGTCATGCCATTGACTCCTTTCTGTTGCAGCTATTATAACAATGAAAATAATATCGCGCTTCATATATAATGATCCCTGCCCTGAAAGACTTACATCCAAAGCCCACCTTTGGGTGCAGCTGGTAGTGTGAGGTGATGCTCAGTCACTCAGGGTTGGTCAAAAGTACACGAGCCACTCGTTGTTTCAGCTACATAATACTTCGGTAACGTTGGTGAAGTCAGCCATGTGCAAAGGTATCATCTAACTTAAAGCACTTAACAGAGGTCTAAATTATGAATACAGTCAGACCAGGTAGTTTTCTGTAGTCACTGCAGAGAGATAGCATTGCTATAGCCAATTCAGACTGAGATGATCCAATCCCTCTCTAGGGTTTCCTATCTCTTCCATCAACAAGAGAGGGTAAACAGCATGTGAAACCAGGTCCTTACTGCAAGTAGGAGGTGGATTATCATCTGTGAAGCACAGATGAGGACTTCCTACTTCATGGGATGCTCTAAAGTGCTCTGATATTACTTTGGCAAGGACCTCATAAGCAAGTTGATACCCAGCTTTCTGCACATCTGCAGAATTTGACCTTTTGCCCCAAAATATGATTTCTGGGTTCAATCATTTTGGCATATCCCACTGCTGCAGTACAGTCAACATACATAATTCAGCATTTCACTGAATCCTTATGCAGATACTCAACAGGTTTGTGCATGAGATTAAAGTCCATCATGATTTTCCAGGAAAATCTGGAGGGCAAAGGCAGGGGTTGTAAGAATAAGAGCACAGAGTTATTTAGTAGAGGTTAGTATACTATGTGACAGAAAAACCACTTCCACTCATGAATGTAAAATGATGCTGTCTGTCCTGAGGGTTTCACACAGCAGGGACTGTTGCTTACCAAGGGTGCCGTGCTGCTTGCTCACAGGTGTATCTTTTATTAGGGTCCTTCTCCATCAAATTCCGAATGAAGTCTTTAGCTGTAAAAAAAAAGAGAGAATAATTTAACGCAATAGGGTTGATGTCCAGTTCTGCTGCAGGATGATCAGCCAACAGCATTGACCAGGCTACCAAGTGCCATCCGGCCACAGTGCTAGAAAATGGCCCTGGGTCATTTGTCACTTATTAGTATAGGTATAACCAAAGTGACTTAAGACCAAATCCAAGCTATTTAATATGGCAGGTAAAAGCTGAAGGTGTCTACTCCTGCAGGTATATTTAGGAGTGGGATGAATAATTCAGAGTCAGCAGAGTTCAAGCCTGCCAGCTCCCAGCTCCCTGGTCGCCCAAGTGCCTCTGACCATCTTAGTGGTCTGCATATGGCCACATCTGTTGGAGATGCTGATTAACTGAGTGGGAAAGGCAAGGAGGAGGTCAGATGCCACAGTAAGAGGAGCTTCTCATTGCTCACTCCAAGCAATCGCACACATGGGCAGCTGTGAGGACATGTTGCATATTTAAAAACAAGTTAATGAGGAAAATGGGCTCCCTTGGGCATAAAGTAGTGTGTTTTTAATCGACACTATAATGGAGGGAAGGGAGATCACAGCATGGTGTGCATCCAGTAGTTTCAGCAGAGAGTAGTTGAAGGAGCCACAGCAAAGCCAAATATGGCAGGAAAATCTTTGTCTGATTTGGGTGATGGACTTTGCCCCCAAAATGCAAAAGGGTCTGCCAGCAGACCTCCATATTTTCTCAGAAAACCCTAATGGGCTTAAAAAAACTTCTCATCACATATATTTTTAAGCAATCCATCACAATGATATCTGGACCACAGATGTAAGCAGCATGAAATGTTGTTCTATGCAGAGATAACAGGATATATAATCATCTTTAAAATAAAACACTTCTTTTTATATCTCCCCTGCCTTAATCAGTAGTCCTAATGAATAAGAAAACTGCATTTCTAGGGATATTTTTGTCTGATAAAATGTTCCTAGAATTAATTTCTTCTCCTGTGTGAAATGACAGATGTTCCCGCAGGTTGGACAGAGCAAGGACACCGAGCTTGCGTGACCTCTTGGAGACCACACAGCATGTCAGTGGCACACGCAGGGTGCAAGGCTGAACACGGCCCCACTGTCACCTATAGACACTGATGCTGGCAGACCATGAGCCGTGCTGGAGCCAGAAGCCTTTAGGCACATTTGCCTGTAACAGGGTAGTATATCTATCTGCCTCTCTGCCAGACTGACTAGAGCAGGCACAGGCAGGCGCTACACGTTAAATGTCTTCTGCACTAGGTGGGGATCTGGGCAAGCATATGGGCAGCTATCTGGATCCGACCACACGGGCAGTACTCCCAGTTTCTGAATCTGCTTATCCGCCTCATTTGGAAGCCATTAATTTCTTGGGTTTGTCTTTGGTGTATACACTGCAGAATCACTTCGGACCTGCAGTACAGTTCTAGTAACAGAGTCAAACTAGGTTGCCTTATTATTATTAGTGACACATAAACTATCTGCATTTTATTTGGATATAATGGAGAAGTTAAATTGCTTTGTCTTCTTGGGACAGTCTTCTGCTATCTTCATCTTCTGTTCCAGCTACGTTTTAGTGCTTTGTGTGTAACTGGACAAAATGGTACTTAATTTGCTTTCCTGCAGAAATAAACTCCCATAACTATTTGAGCTAAAAGAAATTAACATTCCCAATGATTTTCAGTTAAAATGAGCTCCACACATGATGGAGGGTGTGTTCTCATGCCCAGAGGAGGAGATCTGCAACAGGCAGGCATGCATGCATGGTTGTTGCAATTAAATGAGCAGTAGCTTCTTACCAGACTCGGAGATGTCATCCCAATATGGAGAGTCAAACTCATACTCCGCCTTAAGGATCTGCTCAAAGAGTTTGGAGTCATTTTCATCATAGAAAGGGGGATACCCACAGAGCCTAATGGAGAACAAGAAAAGAGACACGTGACTCTCGGACCCGTCTCGACGAAGAAGGTGAGAAAGAGGGAGGGAGAAGAAGGAGAAACTCTTGTTTAAGACTTGTCCCAATAAGTTTTCAAGCAGGCAAGCACTAGCACAAGAGAAGTTTGTTCAGGGACATGTAAACCCACTTCTGGAGATTGGCACCATCCTGGACAAAGAGGAATTCTGCATGGAAACCCAGTGCTGTTGATCCTACACTGGCTCATGCAGATATCCTGGCCTCCCTCTGCATGCTTTTGGGTGTTTAGCCAGAGGAATAGTTTTATTACACAGCCATGAGCCCTTCCATCCTCTCCTATACATGTGGTAAGAGGAGTTTTCATGGGCTACACCCTACATCCACACAGCACCAGTCCCTCTCATCCCTCAGCACAGCCATTCCCCATCCAAGAGTCTTCTCCATAATGGCTTCACTGGTCGGGTGGTCCTTCTGGACTGTTCTCACCCAACACCTTACACAAGCCACTTAGACTGGCTTTACTCTCTCCTGGATGGTGGAGAGGCATTGCAGTGGCTCTGCAGACATGTGGGCACAGCAGAGCCCTGGGAACTGAGGACACACAAGAAGTGATGACACCTACCCAGTCACCAGCATCAGGACAGGCTTTGAGCACAACCTGTGGTCTCTATATTGAGCAAGAGATCATAGCTCTATAGGAAAGTTTGCTGTACATCTGGAGAGCCACTGGCCACCTGCATGGACCTCTTCTCCAGCACAACGGGGAGGAAGAGCTGGTGCAAAGCAGGACAAGGAGCCCTGCAGCACTATCAGACAGAGGGCAGGATGTGTCTGTAGCTTGTGCTGGGCTCTGCGTCCCCAGGTCCCTGCAAGGAGGATGTCTGGGAGTCACTCCACCTCTGCAGCAGAGCCTGCATGGGCTGCATATGGACCTGTCACTGCTGCAGAGACACACGGAGATCCTCTCCCTTTCTCACTTCTGCAAGTGATTTTGCTGCCCACATCAAATTGCCTACCTTGCCTAAGGCTAACGACAGTCCTGTCCTGTTTTTCAGTATTTATAAGCAGACTTCTCAGAAAACCTAGCCCCAGGACAAGCAGAACATTGAACATTATTTGCCTAGTTTGAGCCAAAACACTCAGGGTGCACCGTCCCAGTGCTGCAGACAGCAGGATAGTCACTCTGCCAAGGCAGGGCTCGTCCAGCCCTGCAGACGTGGGAAAACCACATCCAGCAAATGCAGTGGTAAAAACTCGTGTGTCAGAAATCCCTCACGTCCGTCAATGCTGCATGCAGTAGTCTGTCCCTCTCTGTGCAGACATGCCAGCAAAGATACCCCTTCTTCAAGTTTTAATAGCAATGTTGCAAAGTGCCAGATTTACCTCTGAGGCTCATCCAAGGTTTTAGCAAACCCATCCTGCTCACAGTTAAACAGGCCTTTCTGCCTCTAATGTCTCGTATAGAGGTGACACATTTTTTTCTCTTATCTCTAGTCTGTGGTGTAAATTATTCTTTCACATACTTCACTGATATTTAAATGATCTTTTTCCTACAGTTTTCTTAAACCCTGAGTCAATCAACCTCAATAAAGCATTTAATTGGAGAGAGACAGCCATTGCAAACAGACTGAAGATCTCGCTGAAACTCTACACTGTAGCAACAACAGAGCAAGGGGGGGAAAACTTTAAGAAATGAAATACTCAAGTTATTTATAACCCAAAGCCAGCCGGCTGCCCTGGAGGTTATTTGAACCAACTCAACACTTGAGGGTGAAAGGAGCAATGTTTCATTAGCTCTGAGGAGCCAGTGTGCTTGATAAAGAATTTAAATGCTGAGTGAGATGTTGATCTGCGTCAGACCCATATTGACCTGGAAGAACTCTACTGAAATTTGCAGAATTATAATGAATCCACTGTTGTTCAACTGAATCAGAAATCTCTCTCTCTATCTTGCAAAGCAGATGAGCCAGTCCTCATTTGTGTCCTACTGGATGACTGCCATTATCAAAAGCAAGTAAGATAACCTCATGCCAGACAAGCATTTACATTCAGAGCAGGATTGCATACCTACTTAATGGCCACATGCTTGTGTATGGGGCTCGATACAGCAACTCCTACGTGAAACCCAGTGGTGGAAGTGGCGTATGAGAAGGGCCATCAAAAATGGTGTATTTAAGCAAATGCCAAAAAGCCACTATGCACCTGGATAATGAAGGAAAAACATCTGGTACCCTAATGCAGAAACTGGATCCACAACTGGGATCCAGCTCTACAGGTAGCTATGAAGAACATTTATATAACTTGCTTTAATGTAATAAATATCAATGCTTATATTCCATAGTCTTGGGGGGGGATGCACACAAACTGATTTTCACCTTCCTCCTCTTTTGTCACAACCCTCAAGATTTTGGGTGCTTTACTGAGGGGTTTGGAAAGGCTGGAGTTGACAGCACCAGCACTGCAACTGTTAGGATGGCCACTCGGGTAGAGATGTCCAGGCTGGAGTAAAACTGCTCCTCCAAAGATGGAGCCACCGCTCCATCCCTCTTCCCTGGGGGACACATTGGGCTCCATGTAAGAAGCCCAACAGCCCTTCATTAATTTCTTGCCTTCCTCAGCACTTTCCTTAAACAAAACCAAACTGCTCTGATAAAACATTTTAGGGCGAGCAGACAGCGCTGTGCATGCCAAGGTGCTGGCAGGCTGCTCCAGAGAGAGAAATAACTCTCTTAAAATGTGCACTGTTCTAATTACCTTGGCAAAGGTACAAGAGCACAAGTTAGGGCTGCTGTGATTTATACATGCTCATGGCAGCAAAAGGAGCAAACTGCTGAGCAGCACAGAGCTGGAGGGCTATAACCCTGCAAAGGGGGGAGCAGAGAGACATGAACCCCAGCAAGAGCCCCAGACTCTCCAGAGACTTTCAGTCCCTTTCCTACACACATGCAGCTCTTCCCCTGCTCCTCTGCATGGCCTGAGTATCTACACATGTCTGGGGTATCTACCTCTGTGACTGGGAGATCACCACAGCCCATCGCAGGGGTGCACGGTGGAAGGGCTGTACGAGGAGTCAGCGCCACACAGGACGACGCCAGAGCTACTGGAAGCTGGGCACAGGGCAGAAAACAGACTCTTTTGGCACTGCTTTTCCCTTGCTGGTGAGAGCTTGAGAAGTGCTAGTCACCACTACAGGTCATGGGCAGGGACATCCCTCCAAACCAGCCCCCTGCCTGAAAGCAGGCTGAGTGCAGGGCAAGGGCTGGTTCTGGCTCGGCCAGGGATGGGGATGAACCTCCTGCATAGGGGTACCCAAGGATGTTCCTCCAGGAGGCAAATCATTGAGGGCCTACACCAGAAAGCATGTCAGAAGGGAGGAAGCTCCTTAGGACAGAGGAGGTGGCATGTGGGAGGGGAACACCAGGGCATCCTGGCACAGGGAGGGGTTGGGAGCCAAAATATAGGTGGTCTTGATGACCTTTCCCTTAAAATCAGAGTTTAGGAAGACACAGAAGTTTTAATGTTACTTACTTTAATGTTTTAACGTTACTGGCTTTGAAGTAAGGGATGGGAAAGCCCTGGTAAATTAGCCTATCATGCAGTTTATGGCTGGAGGAAATCTTGCTGGACTTCCAGCAACTGGGCCACCTTCCAAAGCCCATAATAAGTTTTTATTTAATTCTTACAAAATCAAAATCCCACCGACTTCATTTCCATCTGCTGGGACATTTCTGTGTGAAAAAAATGACCTCACTATCAGAGGTTCTGCTGCTTTTCTTTAGATATGCAGAAATACAAAAATAACCCCTCTGTCTTCAATGTGAAAAAATCCTGCATTGTCCTGGGGGAGCTTCAGGCAGCTATTAGATGTCATCATTTTCTCGCAGTTTCACCAAATAAAAGTTTTTCAGAATTATTTAGCAACCTTATCACATCAGCAACAGATTTTCCCTTAACCTCCTATTCCCAGTCTTGCCTTAAAAAGAATGGAATCCAGATACGAAAAACACAGATGGATGTACAAAAGAAAGATATTGTTAGAAGTCATTTCTAGAAGCCCAAAAGGAATATCAGGAATGTCTTCTCCTCACCAGGCAGAGAAAGCAAGCCCCTGCAAGCTCCTGTTACATATTGGGGGTGATACTAAAGGCTAAATAACCCATTTACATAGTCAGTGTATACAACCTGCAACACAAGAGGCACTGGGGTTAGTTTTACAATTTTGTAGTGAGATTAGAGCAAAGAACTCAGTAAATACTCAAAGACCTGAGATGTGTGGTGTGGGAAGTGGTCCAAGTGCTATTTATAGGGATAAACACATGTATTCCTTCTTATTTTAGGAATGGACCCTCATACTGGCTGACACTAGTGCCCTCATGAAACTGTGGACAAGGACATTACATGGGGAATAAAAAATGAATTAGGAAGCAAGCAATGAGGAGCAATCATTTGGGGTTGTTTTCCCAGTGTTTAACTGTGATATCCTGAGCAATCCAACATGCCTGTGTACATTTTGCCACCATTAATTCTCCTTCTAGTACCAAATAAGTAAGTTATTCCTCACTTTCTTGCTTAGGCTTGTATGAGATGCTGAGCAGCAGGCGAGATGCCCGACCAGCTTTTCCCAATGCATGACTCCAGGACGATGGTGGAAAATTTTTCTGGCATAATATACTTTGTACTGTCCCTGGTTAATCCTTCCATACAAACATCATTGATGATTTCATGCACATCTACTTGAAAATCAAAAGCAACTCATCAGCAAAGCAGTACAGAAAGTATGATCCAAGATTTATCTCCAGATACTCATTTATAAATAACAATAACAAACCAGTAATTCTCTTGTCCTACCAGTGAACAGAATCAGAAGAAAATTCAGGGCAAAATGTGTTCAGCCTAGTGCAGAAGAGACAGAAGGTGTTGAGGATGAATAAACAGGGGCTGAGGCAGAGCATTCTGTGGCCCCGGGTGCTCTTCCACCTTTGGACCATGATCTTCTA